TATGCTACTGATATATCCCAACCAGTTTTCTTTGGAAAACAGAACATTTTCTGTTTTGGCAACTAATAAAGGTGTGCCATAGGGTTCGGTTCTCGGCCAGCTATTTTTCATACTCTATATTAATGATAAAACAGATAATTAAGAAAGTCTATCGACACTTTTTGCCGATGATACTTCTCTTTTATCTTTGGATCATGTAAAGATACAACTGTGGGCAGATAAGTGACTAGATAAATTTGATCTTGCAAAAACAGAAGCTTTACTTATCTCTTCCTTCTTTTCTTCAACACTTACACTGTGGAATCATTTGCCTGTTAATAATAAACATAGTCTTACATTACAATCATTCAGAAACTGTATCCAGAATACAAATTTGACAAATGTTCCTAAATACTATTTCTATGGCGATGAAAAACAAATTTCGCATACAAAATTAAGAAACCGTTCAAGTCTTTAAAAAAATACCTATATCGAGTTAATTTGGTTGATGATCAACAGTGTACAAGTAGCTTACCTGTTGAAGACAACTACCATTTCTTTTTGAGTTGCAAGAAATATATAGAACCATGTAGATGCATTTATGACCATGGCTAAAGGGCTTATAATCGGAAGCTTAAATTGTAGAGGGTTGTCTTCAGATCCAATAAAACGAAGGGATTTCTTTGAAAAATGTAGGAATAAATATGACATTGTTTTTCTTATAGATACACATTCAGATTTAAAGGTTGAAAATCAATGGAAAAATGAAAGGGGATATGAAGCCTGGTTTAGTTCATATACGTCAAATAGCAGAGGAGTAGCAATCCTATTTAAAAACTCTTTTGGATTCAAATTTTTGTCAAAAAAAGAGGATCAAAATGGAAATTTCTTAATTTTAAATATTCTTTTGATTTCATCTGATAAAAACTTAACTTTAGTGGCAGTATATGGACCAAATAATACAGATGTTAATTTGTATCATCAACTTTCGCATCATCTTGAATTATGCGAGAATACATCTATCATCATAGGTGGTGACTGGAATGCACCACAAAACTATGTTAAGGATACGAAAAACTACATAAATAGAAACAATATAGTAAATCAGGGTAAAATTATAGATATTATAGATACTTTTGATCTCATTGATATATGGCGAGAGCAAAACCCAGATGTAAACTTCTTTACTTGGCATGGACCAAACAGAAAACAGGCAAGATTAGACTATTTTCTAGTGTCTTCAGATTTGGTTTCTACTGTTGTTAAGAGTGATATTGAGATAAGCTATAGGTCAGATCATTGTCCAATATCAATAGAACTCGAATTCATAACACAAAATAGGGGTAAAGGAACATGGAAATTTAACAATAGTTTATTGAGAGATCCAGATTATGTAAATTTAGTAAAAGAATGTATAAATGTAGTACTTAATCAATATGCAGAAAATCCTGAAGTAGAAAATAGGGACTTATTAACATTTACGATTAGCAATAACTTGTTATGGGAAACCATCAAATTCACAATAAGGGGAAAGACTATTGCTTACTCGGCCAAAAAAAAAAGGGGAAGGGGCCTAGAAGAAAAACAGTTAGAGTTCAAAGCAGAAAACAGACAATTAGATATTATTGAGGAATTCGAGAATGAATTAAGATTACTTAGGGAGAGAAAAATTAAGGGTATTATTTTAAGAGCAAAATCAAGATGGAAAGTAGAAGGGGAAAAAAAGTACTAAATATTTTTGCAATCTAGAGAAAAGACATTTTCAGGAAAAACTCATCCCCAAACTTATTAAAGAAAATGGACAGGAACTTACTGATCTTAAGGATATAATGGCAGAACAGAAACTTTATTATGTGAATTTATATATAAAAAAAACAGAAAATAATCAACACAATTTTTTCGATGATTCAAATCCTTTCATAAGCAAATTATCAGCTGCACAAAGTGATCAATTAGAAGGTATATTAGAGTACCGGGAGTGTCTTTTCTCAGTAAAAAATATGAAAAAATGATTGATAAATCACCTGGTATTGATGGATACACTGTTGAATTCTACAAATTCTTCTGGGCAGATATACATATTTTTTTAATTCGCTCACTGAATCAAGCACATCTAGATGGTTAATTCTCAATTTCGCAACGACGTGGTATGATAACTTGTATCCCTAAAGAAGGTAAATCTACAGTATATATGAAGACCTGGAGACCTATAACGCTTTTAAATGTGGATTATAAAATTGCTTCATCCGTTATTTCAAACAGACTAAAGAAAGTGTTAGACATCCTCATTAGTGATACACAGAAAGGGTTTTTAAAAGGAAGATATATTGGGGAATGTACTAGATTAATTGCTGATTTAATAGAAAAAACAGAAAAAAATAATATTCCAGGCCTTCTTTTATTGATTGACTTCGAAAAAGCCTTCGACTCTTTGGAATTTAATTTTATTTTCGACTCTCTACAATTTTATGGTTTCGGGCCATCCATTATCCAATGGATTAAATCTCTTAACAAAAATAGTTCATGTTGTATTATAAATAATGGACACTGTTCTGATTTTTTTGATGTACAACGTGGAGTACGACAGGGGGACCCTGTAAGTCCCTATATATTCATTTTATGTGTAGAACTACTTAGTTCAGCTCTAAAATTTAACCCAAATATAAATGGCATTACTATCAATAATTCAGAATATTTAATTAACCAATTTGCAGATGACACATCTTTCACATTATCTGATGATCCAGTTTCCCTTGCAACAACTTTAGACATTTTGGACAATTTTGCGAAAGCATCAGGTCTCAAAATAAATGTTGAAAAAGCAGTTTGGATTGGGGCGAGACGGGGTTGTGGGTTGGAACTTCTACCTTAAAGAAATTTATTATGGAATCACCAGGGAATTTTTGAACTTTTGGGAATAAAATACAATTTTCAAAAACCAAATATATTTGAAGACAATTACAATGAAAAATTAAAATCAGTCAAAAATTTATTGAAAAATTGGTCTTTCCGAAATCTCTCATACATAGGAAGAGTAACTGTTATACGAACTCTAGCATTACCTATCCTCATCCAGACATTAACTGTTCTTCCAGACCCACCTTCATATATCATAATAGAATTGCAAAAATGTTTTTTCAATTTTTTGTGGGATGGAAAGCCTGACAAAATCAAGAGAAATGTAATGTATAGTGATTATCATAATGGGGGACTACGTCTCCCACATGTTTTAACTTTTTGTCATGCACTCAAGATGTCTTGGATTAAAAAAATATTAACCCCCTCAAATCAGGCAGCATGGAAAACACTATTATTAGACAAACTAGAGTGTTTTGGAGGCGACAAAATTTTCAAAATGACAAAAGACGGATTAACGTTATTAGCCAAAAAAATTAATACCTTTTGGATGGAAGTGTTTACGGCTTGGGCCTCTATGCAAGAAAATGTGTCCCCCACAACCCCAGAGAAGGTGGTCTCGCAACCAATTTGGTATAATTATTTAATTAAAAGAGGCAATAATTGCATTCTTTATGAAAACTGGTGTAAAAAAGATGTATTTTTTATTTCTGACTTATTAGAAAATAATCAATTCATGTCTTGTGATATTTTTTCTCAAAAGTATAATATAAATGTAAATTTTATAGATTACTATGGAGTTATTAATGCCATACCAAGAAATTGGAAAGACATTTTGCAGAATATAAATGGTGACATACCTTATATAACTTATAAATCAATAATCTATCTTAATACACATGATAAAGGTACTAATTATTTCTATCATATTCTTCTCCAAACTATCTCTGAAAAACCGATGAATAGTCAAAGAAAATGGCAAGAAGATCTCCATAGTAATATTAGTGAAGAATCTTGGGAATATTTTAACTCGATTCCAAGGGCCATAACTGATGACACAAAACTTTTTAGCTTTCAGTATAAAATCATACACAGGATCATCTACACCAACACAAAATTAATGAGATGCAAATTAGCTGAAACTGAAAGATGCACATTTTGTACAAATGAGAGAGAAACTATTATACATCTTTTTTGGGAATGCAGTATAATAAAAAAAAATTGGTTATGGCTGATAGATACGCTAGAAAATAAGTACCAAATTACCTTGCCAAGACACCCAACAACTTTTATTTTTGGTGTAATAGAAAAAGAACATGGAGCAAGATTAATTTTTTATTGCTCATTATGAGATACTATATTATATTCATGTAAGTTAAAAAAACAAAGCTCCTACCATTCTGGAAGGGAAAACATACCTTAAGTTTTATAATAAAATAGAAGATATGGGTCTGTATGCCTATAACAACAAAAAGGCAAGAAAAAATCAAATGCAAATGGATTTTTATCAATCATTTACTTACTTAACTGAGCTGACATTGTTAATGTATTTTGGGTAAAGTCTTTAGAGCCATATATTCATGTCGATAACTTCACATCTAAATGTATTCAAAATAGAAATGATCTGTCTTACTTACGGATGTCATGGTACTCTGTACTTGTCTTTAAAAAACGTGAAATATCCGATGGAAATATAATCTAAATTAATATAAACTTTGTACATGCATGAGTAAACAGTTAAACTCATATATATATATATATATATATATATATAGAACAAAGAGGTAAACTTTATCGTGAGCCTAACAAGTCAAATACATACCTCTTAGTGCTCTTACCATGAACCTACTTCATTTGGCGATTCAAATAATTCGGAACGAGAAATCATTGGCATTTTCATGCACACTCAGCATTACATTCATGAATCTAATCAATTTAAATTACTACATCTCCCCTTCTCCCTCTCTCTCCTTCTCCCTCTCTCCCCTTCTCCCTCTCTCTCCTTCTCCCACTCTCCCCTTCTCCCTCTCTCTCCTTCTCTCTCTCTCTCTCCTTCTCCTTCTCCCTCCTTCTCCCTCTCTCTCTCCTTCTCCCTCTCTCTCCTTCTCCCTCTCTCTCCTTCTCCCCCTCTCTCCTTCTCCCTCTCTCTCCTCTCTCTCTCTCCTCTATCTCTCCTTCTCCCTCTCTCTCTTCTCTCTCTCCTTCTCCCTCTCTCTCCTTCTCCCCCTCTCTCCTCTCTCTCTCTCCTCTATCTCTCCTTCTCCCTCTCTCTCCTTCTCCCTCTCTCTCCTTCTCCCTCTCTCTCCTTCTCCCTCTCTCTCCTTCTCCCTCTCTCTCCTTCTCCCTCTCTCTCCTTCTCCCTCTCTCTCCTTCTCCCTCTCTCTCCTTCTCCCTCTCTCTCCTTCTCCCTCTCTCTCCTTCTCCCCCTCTCTCCTCTCTCTCTCCTTCTCCCTCTCTCTCCTTCTCCCCCTCTCTCCTCTCTCTCTCCTTCTCCCTCTCTCTCCTTCTCCCCCTCTCTCCTCTCTCTCTCCTTCTCCCTCTCTCTCCTTCTCCCCCTCTCTCCTCTCTCTCTCCTTCTCCCTCTCTCTCCTTCTCCCCCTCTCTCCTCTCTCTCTCCTTCTCCCTCTCTCTCCTTCTCCCCCTCTCTCCTCCTCCGTCATTCTCCCTCTCTCTCTCCTTCCCCTCTCTCACGTTCAGAAAATATTTAAAAGCTATATGTCTATCGATATTCGATTATCAAAACAATATACACTGTCGCAATATCGATATAATTGTATGTGAAAATGTATGTGGAAAATGAGCTTGGTCTTTCTTTGTTTGAGCGGAATAGTGAAAACGGAAATACAAGCAGACAAGGATTGAACAGGGGGAATTTATTAGCACAGGAAATGATGAACAATTGAACAGCAAAACGCTATTTTAAGCTTTATTTTCCGTTCAAAAGTAAGCCCTTCTAGGCTTTCGTAGATTATTATGCACGCTTTGAAATAGATCCATACATTTCGCACCAACATGTAGGTTTTGTCTCATTATTATCGGTATGGCTTGTGTCACCACTGTAATAAAGTTGATAATATGATTACTACTTATACATTATTGAATTGCATAATATCAACAGTATTCCAACTGCTCCGCCATTTTAGTATAAAAACAGAAATTGGTAGACGGGATCCCACAAGTTTATTGTTGTATAAACTATGTTTTTTTGTATGAAACTAAACTTTAACATATCCAACTAAGGGAGAATACTCTGAACATGAAATCGACGAAAATCCGTATATATATATATAATCAGAGATAGGATATCACTGACTGTATACGGGAGGTTGAAATCACTTTACTTTGTTAATGTCAGGTAACGTATATAACGTGAGATATAATAAAAACCATTTTTGATAAGATTTTCCTAAAATTGAAAAACTGAATTTATTAAAATGGTATACTGTATTATATTTGTGCAATTCATTTGGAAATAAAGGCAGTCTATAATATTTACGACCGAAAATCTAAACACTGTTTTTTAGCATAAATGCGCAAATGTGTTAACGCTTGCACAATACGAAGTACATGTAGAAGGGAAGTTACTCGCAATGAACGCACATATATATCTTATAGTATCTTAAGGATCCCCGTACCACAGCCAAAATGTATCTAAATATTGGTAATTGTTTTCCGGTAATTATAATAGCTTTGATAAGTCATTTCTGAAACGGAGTTAAGGGGAGGTAACTATATATAGAACAAAACGCATTGTAGCGGGACAGGGACCCTTAAAGTGGATTTTCAGGACTTGTCAAGGTCTTTATTACCAGTCACCTCTTCAACCTCATTAAAACACAGAACAAATCTGGTGCAGTTTGTTCTATTGCTATGGAAACTGTTTTAATATTCTTGCCACCAAATTCAACAAAATATTGTCAACTATTTTAGAAATATATGTATATCATTCTCACGATATCATAAGTAAATTTTGTCCATGCATTTGTTGTGGGGTTTTTTACACAAAAAAATGCTCATAAATATTTTTTTATTTTTTTTGTATTATTTTTATTTTTCAAAGGTATTTCTTGTACAATATGCATAAATAGATACATTATTTTTTCCATACTCCCTTACACCCATACACACGCTCACTGCATTCACATATACTCATTCATCATTTCATAATGTTTTGTTATCATCATCATCATCACTCCAATATCTTTATCATGACACTCGAAACATCATCATCATCATCATCATCATCCTCATCCTCATGACACTAAACACTGAAATCATCATCATCATCATCATCATCATCATCATCATCATCATCATCATCATCATCATCATTATCGTCATCATAATTATCCCACTGATATATCCATCATGACACAAAATCATCATCCAATTGACATAGACTTTTTCATTATTATTATTATTATTATCATCACGACTGAAATCAACATCATTCTCACAATAATATCGTAAGCACACTGTTGCCGTCATCAATCTGATATCATTATCATCATCATCATCATAATCATGACTGAAATCAACATTATTCTCATAATACTATCAGCATCATCACACTGATGTCGTCATCATCAAACTGGTATCATTATCATCATTATATGACATTTCAATCATCCTCATCATTACCCAGACATAGTTAGGATAATACTCTCATGATGTTAATCTGACAACAATGACACATGTCGACTTTAAAGGAAAAGCTGCATAAATAGAACTTATCTAATTTGACACAAGTTAAGGAGAAACAATTTACACAAACAGTTATAGAATATTGATTATATTTATGTCATACGATGGTATAGATTAAATGAAAGTTTGTAGTTTAAAATACGCCAAATAACGAAGATAATGAGATATTAAATTAAAGTTCATTTAGCATTTTTATCATAAATTTCTTTATGATAATTTCCCTAGTTCTACAGACCGAGTTGTTGGTTATTTGCTGATAGCACCTCTTAATCTTTTCCTCTACATAAAACGGGAGTGAACCTGTAAGCCGTGTGATAGCAGTATACATTATACATATAGTATATGTCCTACGACATGTGTATACATCTTATCTGGTCATAGGCCACCCCGTGATTTTATACACCTCGTGACTGTCGGTGATACACCACTATGGGGGCGAGCTGTAGACGAGACTGTACATAACACGGTATGTACATATACTGGACACTGGATACATCACACTGACCAAACAGCAGGTATGCATTTAATCGCTGAACACTGGTCTTGGTGATAACGGTTGACGACATAACGATATATAACGTGTATCCATTCTTACGAAATTGACCCTTGTAATATAAATTCTTGGGTCAGAACATAATGAATAACTAAGTTCGCTATGAGTACTATGTGCAGATTTAATGAGAAATGAAACCAAACTCTTTAAAATATTTGATCAAACGAATTTTCTTTTAGTTGAGGTCCCCTGCACTGCCAAAAACGGAAACTTTGTATTAAACACTTCTTTTTTCGGCTAGAATATAGCTTTGATAAGCCATACCTTACCTTGCGGGAATGTTAGAAACCTTTGTTTGAAATGATAAAGATGAATTGAACGAAATATAATTAACAAAAATGTTCTGAATGTAAAAAATTCTGCTGGGACCAGAACGCAATTCAAACCGTGGGCTTCAGATTGTTAAACTATCGCTCCAGTCTCGTTCAACCAGACTCTTGTTGTCTGCGCAAGCTACGCCGATCAGAGAATTACAAGTGATCAAGCGTCTGGTTGAACGAGACTAACTATCGCTCTAGCCGGTGGTATCCAAACGGAAGTTAAGGGGAGGTTACTGTATATATCATAAAGATTTTTATGATAAAAGTGCTTTTGAACTTTAATTTAATATCTCATTATATTCGTTATTTGGCGTATTTAAAACTACAAACTTTCATTTAATTAATTCCACCCAGTGACATAGTTATAATATGTGGAACTATTTGTTTGTACCATTAGCTCTCTAAACTTACGAAGCTTTTTCTTTGTTTGTCGTTAAAATAAAATAATAAACACTTAATTGTCTGTGTATCAAAATGATGTTAATAATTAAAAAATAATTTATGCATATACACATGATACGTCATACATGACTAATAACTAAATAGTAAGAGTTTACAGTCAACCAAATACAATACAAGCTAAAATATGTACTTAAAGAACTCCCCATATTTCCCCAAGTCGGCATTTATGAATACGGGAAAAAAATAATGAGTAAAAAATAGATATCAAACCAATTGAATATGAATTTTTGAACTGCTGTAATATTGGGTATTGTTAATATTATACTGTAAATATAGCCATATTCACTATATCTATTAATGTAATGGGGTTTCCCAGACTTAAACAAAATAATTTCATCACTTTCCCATCAGAGGACCAACTTTTGAATAAATGTTTTGATTCCGTTAAAATAAATCGTATGACAGTAACGTGCTCAAAATCATGAAAAACATGGTTGATCAAGTTTTTCAAAACTGTTTTTAGGCTAAAACAGATTGTATTTCCATATTAGTGTAGCCGAATGCGTAACGCAATTTCATTTTGACCAGAAGAAGTGAACGGTGCAAGTTCGAATCCACGTTCAGATTTATTTATTTTTAACATTTAGGCACGCGATCTTTTTCTTTAAGTAATGAATATTTTTTTCAAATCAACGGAATATTTTATTGATAATAACATACATATTGATTTATCTTCTGTGGAATCATGTCATCACATTTCTGCACACGTGGACAGTACAGCTAAGCTTTGTAGATAAGACGTCATTTTAAATAATATTTATGAATTGATTTACCCTCCAATTGCACCAGTAACTTTATGTATTATTTAAACACCAACAAATGATGCCGAAATACAGAATATGTGGAATTGTTGCGTCATAATTAGAAAAAGGCCAAGCAAAAAAAAAGATCTGTTATTATCGCTAATATGCACTACATTCCGACAGTCAAGTGTCACACATTTCTGTTGTAAATTATCCCAGATGTAGGAGATTTGATGCTGCGTTCGCGTACTCTATAAAGTCCATCGTCCGGTTCTCAAGGTGTGCTTAGATAATGGTAAAACTCATCGTTATCTCACTAATTAGCATAGGCTGTGATCACTTCCAGCTCACCAGGATGGAAATGATAACTTGAATAATTATAGATATTAAAGGATTTTTATGTGATAGTTATAATATACTTCTAACATCTAGGAATTTAGATGAATCTTTCTTTTAAAGTTTAATTATCAACTGTTAAACACCACACTCTTAGTCACACATAACCATTCTTCCTAGGTATTTAGGTATCTTATTAATTATTACAATAATAAAGAAAACTTTCATTTTATGATTATTTGTATTGTTATTTTAATAATATGTTTAAAGTACAAAATTATTACAAAATAAAATAACACATTTCATCTTATGATATGTTATATCAGCAGCACAATGACTACAGACTGGATATATTTAATATATATATTTATATAATTAATTTTGAAATATTTTAAATTTTAACATTTGCTATTGAAAATTTGAAAGTCTTATGTGATGTATTATTAAATTATATATGATCAGCTTCCAGCTTAGATAGAACACCACCCTACTAGATAGNCCTGATTATGCTTGTAACATCAGTTTGGACCAAGGCCTTGGAC